CACCCAAAGAAATCATTGCACTGTTTTTGACTATTAAAGGAAGCTCTGTCCTGTCGTCTGTGTTTGTCTGTTGTTTCTGCCGCTGCAGGAGCTCTTCAGAGGGAGACTGACACGGCTCAGACTCAAACACTGAGCTGGAAATGTGTGTGTGTGTGTGTGTGTGTGTGTGTGTGCGTGTGTGTGTGCGTGTATAGTGGATGTATCCTGTATGGTCACCCACAGCACTTCACCATCATGACTCCTCCACCAGCAGTGTGCAGCTCCGCCTGATGATGCTCCGGCAGACACCAGCGCCAGCGCTTCACCACACACCAGCTATAGGGGGAGTGGAGAGACGGTGATGGAGTCAGTCAGTGGATGGGGATGATTGGGAGGCCATGATGGAGGGAGCGTGTCCAGGACACCGGGGTTACACCCCTACTCTTTACCTGAAGCGCCCTGGGGTTATTAATGAGCACAGAGAGTCAGGAGCTGGCTTTACCTGACAGTACAGTGTCCCCTTCACTACACCGGGGCATTAGGACTCAGACAGAGCTCCCAGTGTTCCCATGTGCTCTCCATCCAGACACTGACCCGGCTCAGCTGCAGTGAGGGATTTTCTGGGCTGCAGGGTGGTGTGTCTGGAATGACGTGTTTATAATCATTTCGGGCCTCCACAGTGTTTCTTCAAGGCCTGACGGAGTTCTTGAAACACTGCAGTGCTGCTCTGGTGTGTTGATGAAGATCTGCTGATGATCTGTTGCTCTGCGGTACTTTATAAACTAAAGCATTACACATGATCATGCAGCGCTTCATTTCTGACGTCAGATGTAGATGGTGTGTGTCCAGGTGAGCTCAGACAAACCTGTATCGAACACACACACACACACACACACACACACACACACCTGTAGTGCGCTTCAGCAGGGTTATTTAGACGCTGCAGCAGTTCTCTGAGGCTGTGCTGGATGTGTGTGTGTGTGTGTGCGTGTGTGTGTGTGAGCAGAGATGAGTGAGTGTGTCCAGCAGAACTCTGGGAAACATCATGTTGGGTTCTGCTCTCCTGATAATCCTGCGGTAACGGCTCGACTCCTCAATAAACTCCTGCAGGGCTTTCCCGGGAGTGTAGAGACGCTACTGAGATACTCTGCTGGATCATCATCGTCATCATCATCGCAGCTGTTGTGCAGTGTGAGGCAGGCTAATACGTGTTTTAAACGGGTAAGAAGCTCGAGCTCTTCTCAGCCACACTGGAGGAGCACCAGCACTGCATGGTTTGGATGTCTCCTCTGCTGATGATCTGGATCAGGTGTGCTGGGTGAAGAGACACGGGAAATGTGCAGAGCTGGTGCTCCTTCAGGCACGTGGTTGAGAAACACTGCTCTAGATAACACTGCTGGTTCAGTTTATGATCAGCTGTGTGTGTGTGTGTGTGTGTGGAACTTCAGGTGTTTTCCAGCCACACCTCAGCTCTACAGGTGAGTGATGATGCCGTCCAATCAGCAGCTCAGAATATTAGCATACTCTAATTCTTACGATCTCATTGGTTCGTGTCATGGTGAGGGGCGGGGTTTACACCTCACGCCACTGCGGTGATGCGACACGAGGGCGTGTCCTCTGCGTTGTCATGACGATGATAAACTGGCACGTGACTCCAGGCAAATGTTGTTTGATGAAGACCACAATCTCTTTACGTGTGTTATACAGTCTATGATGATGATGAAGATGATGATGAAGATCTGCAAGAGTTTAATGCAGGGGTTTTCCTGTCTGATGAGGATTAAATGTGTGTGCGCTGTGCAGATCTGCTCTGGATCTCTGCGCCTGTGTTGATGTTGCTGTTGGACAGAGCAGTGGCTGGAGATCAGATCAGCCTCATTCTGTCCCAGAGGAACTGAACTGAACAGCACTGTGATGTACTCAATACACATACATGCTATTAAACAGAAAGCACATCGCTGAACACCTCTGATGACACACACACACACACACACACACACACACACACGTCTCTTTACTCGAGGTTGCCTAAAAGCAAAAGCGCTCCTCAAGGTGGATGTGGACAGGTAAATGTGGATAATAAAGACAGCGCTTTAGGGGTCAGAGATGATCATAGCTGCTCAGTAAATGACGATAACAGCATTATATATGTGATATATCCGCCACAGTAATAGAGTTACTCATTAGACTAATCATGAGCTCATCTGTAGATATTGAAGGATAAATAGAGCAGGTGATGTGCCTTATTCACTACAGCACATCAAACAACAGCTGTTAAAGCTAGCAGACTATAATGGGGTCGTCTAGTGTTCCCTGATGGAGAGAAGAGCATCTGACCAGCAAACAGCATCGGGACAGATCTGAATGGGTTCTGCAGGATTCTGTGCTACTGACCGCAGATCTCTCAGTGTGTGTGAGTGTGTGATGTTGCCCTCTGCCGGGCCGCTCCTCCTCAGTCACGTGACCTCCAGCAATGTTTTACCTGGCGCTGTGTGACGTCACCGCGCACCGTGCAGGAACAGGAACCGCGAAGGCCGTGAAGAGCTCGTAACTCTCCGCTAAACACCGGAATGTGACTTTAACTCTGCTTTAGCCCGCTATAACCTCATTTCCCGCGGATCCTCGTGTTTATAAGCGTACAGTATGTCTGCGTCCGCGGTGTTCGTGCTGGACCTGAAGGGGAAGGTAAAGATCATCTGTCAGACACACACACACACACACACACACACACACACACACACACACACACACACACACACACACACATCAGAGGGCTGAAGGGGAGACCGCTGATCACTATATAAACTATATAACTCGGGTCGGTCTATAATGTGAATGATCATGTTGAAGACCTGTTCTGAATATCGTCTCACACTTTATCAGCTGACGTCACTTCCTGTACATAGAGGAAGTAGCTTTATTACTAATGACCCAATTATAAGAGTCTGACCTGAGCTCTGAAGGTCGCATCAAAGTAAAATAAAGTTTTCAGAGGTCAGTATCAGCATTATATCTGTAAGCGCTGCGCTCTGACACACTGTGTGTTTAAGATGCAGAGCTGAGATCAGCATGTGAAGCTGCAGTTTTCACTTAATAAATCCTCAATGATCCTCAATGGGTCAGCGCAGCGGGTTTATTCATGTTTACCCTTAATTCAGTTCCTTTTCACATCATAACCAATCAAATGCTCTGTAGTGTCTGACATGCCCCGCCCCCTTCTTCTCATTGGCTGTTCATTTGATGAGCTTGAGCTCAACCACTCTCACTGGCAGAGCTGAGAGGAAACTAAACACTATTGGCTGATTTTAAAAGGGGAGGAGCTACTCCATGCCTCTCCTCCTCTGTGGTTAAGATTATGACGTCCAATAAGATGGCAGATTTCAGAGCGCTGGAGTGAATCTCTGGTGTTTACACTGCTCTTCTGTTTCCTCCAGGTGTTGATCTGCCGAAACTATAAAGGCGACGTTGACATGTCCGAGATCGATCACTTCTTCACCCTGCTGATGCAACAGGAAGAGGACGGGCTTATTTCACCTGTCATGTCACACGGCAACGTCCACTTCCTGTGGATCAAACACAACAATCTCTACCGTATCCTTTACGTTATGAACTGTAGAGTCAGGAGGGGGACGCTGGTTAATCTGAGCATGCAGAAGCTAACGATAGTCAACAATGATCAGAGCAGTGGTGCTCAGCCATCGGGCTGTGGACCGGTACCAGTTCGTGGATCAATTGGTACCAGGCCGCACAGGAAATCATTAATTATTTCTGTTTTATTCATTATCTGAGTGTGAATGATCTTTTATTTTGAGAAATGACCATATCCTCTCAGTTACAAGAGCACCAAAGCATGAGGAACAGACGGCTGTGGAAGGTGTCTTTGCTCAGGGGGAAAGGCCCAGGGAAGGACCCGCGAACTGCCGAGGTTTATGAATTACAAATACACTGGAAGATATTTAGGCCTAATCCCAATTCTCCCCTTAGCATGTATGTTTTGTGCGTTCCCGTGAAGGTGTAGGGGTGTCCCAGTTCTCTGAAGGGGAAGGGCTATACACCCCTTCAAACAGAGATTTTTCAGGACCACACTCAAAACCAAGAGGTTAGAACATTTCCCAGAATACACCAGCCACATGACTCCACCCGGAAGTCAGGAGATCCACAAATGAGTATTTTTTGTCAATATTATGAATTTTTACGACAAACAAGCACATGTTTAATATATTCATAACCGCGCTCCTGTTTCACCGTCAAGCTTAAACACAACCGCTAAATCCATAAACATAACTCGTCTACAGCAGTCCCAGAACATTCTGACACTCGATGACGCTCCCATCCTCTGTCAGCAGGGCCGGCGTGTCCATAGAGGTGACCTAGGCGACCACCTAGGGCGGCAGAATAGAGAGGAGGCGTTCACGACACCTCCCTCAACACCCGCGTCCTCAGTTATGTCCGTGACACTTCCCTCACAGGAGATGGCGAGGACACATGCTGACGTGTGCAGGTGCTGTAGTGCTGACCCAATTCTTAGGGGTACATTTTGAAGCCCTTCCCCTTCACACTCGGTTTTAAGGGCCATGGGGAAGGGGAAGGGGTACCAACATAGAATTGGGATTGCGCCTTTAATCCCATCTCCCTTATATTTTAACAATTATTCTATAGGGGTTCTCACCTTTTATTGGGACACAAGCCTAAAACAGGACAGTATTGGGAGCAGAGAGAGGGGATGGGTCTGCAAAGGATCTCGAGCCGGGAATCAGACTCAGGCCTCCGTGAGCACCAGAGTGCTATATGTCGGCGCACTACCCTCGAGGCTATAGGCGCAGACGACGTCACGTCTCCTGTGTTATATAGGCTGTTTACACATGATGTCTTTGATGACGCGCGAGACTCAGATGGAGGGCAGGAAGTGATTCTTCTACATGGGACTCGCTATCAGACCATCGGTGGAATAAACAACCGTATCGTGAAGGTCTGTATGTGCAGCAGCGGTGAGTGTGTGTTGATGATAACCGTTCATCGACCAAACAATAACCGTACCTCTTACACAAATAAATAAATACTCAATAATGTCGAGTATACGACACGCTTCTGTGGGCTTCATCTGTTATTTCCTGATGCCTGGAAGATTTTTACTTCCTGCCCTCCATCTGAATATCACACGTCACCAGAACCACGAGAACAACAACAACAACAAACACAAACACAACAACATGCAGTTCTGAAAAGCCTGAATGTGTAGTCACTGGAGCAGGTTGGGCAGATCGGGGTGCTGCTGCTTCACTATAGAGGGAGATTACACATGACAGAAATCTGGATCATCTGGCGAGACGATTGACAGCTCTCGTCAAAGGCACACACTCTCCTGTCACACACTCTTCTGTCACACACTCTCCTGTCACACACTCTTCTGTCACACACTCTCCTGTCACACACTCTCCTGTCACACACTCTCCTGTCACACACTCTTCTGTCACACACTCTCCTGTCACACACTCTCCTGTCACACACTCTCCTGTCACACACTCTCCTGTCACACACTCT